CCCTGGCCTGGAACAGGCACTCACAGCCTGTGTGAAGGGAGACAGTGAGCAGCCCCTTCAGATGGAGCCCAGGTGCAGGGCCCCTGTGCCCGGGGCGCCCCGTGGCTCAGCAGGGCCTTGGGGACCGACGGCCGTGGTCCTGACGCGGCAGGAATGCGGAGCTCACCCCGCCCTGGACAGAGCACACACCTTTCAGCCGGTCCAGGTTGTGCAAGGGCCCCTCTGCACGCTACTCCCTAGCTCTTACCGATCTGGGGCTTCCCCAAGGTGGGGCCCCACTGGGGTGAGGCTCCAGCAAAAATGGGTCAGTGGCAAACCCAGCAGAGGCGCTGTGACATGTTGAGTCAGAGCCGGTCACCAGGAGCTCAGGAGAAAATAAAACAAAAGAGGCAGTTTTCATACGCGTTGGCCTTGGCAGTTCCTTGCAGCTGGAGAGGGTCCGCCCTTGCCTGGCATGGCCCTTACACAGAGGCGACAGGCAGTGTAAACACATGTCGAGTGCACAAATGACCGAAGGAAGCTACTCGGAATCTTCCATCCCTTTAATGTTAGCTAACACACAGGGAAAATTCCCGTGAGCACATCGGTCACGTAGTGACCACAGATCACAGATTTTCCAGGACTAGTTTCAGCTGAATGATGTGGATTGTGCCAGGTACAGGCCCTAGGAACTGGAGGTATGAAGGCAAGTAAATCGTGGTCTTGACTTCAAAGGGAGCGAAGGAGGAGAGGAGGGACATCCCACGGTGTCCCGGCTGTAACCCACTCCTGCTGGCAGACGGGCAGGGTCTGCAGAACAGACTAGTTTGGGAGGGCCGCGGTGGCTGCGGCCGGGGCGGGGAGGGGGCGCAGGCAGACCCTGCAGGGTCCCGAACTTCATCCTGTAGACCAAGGGCCACCAGGGAAGGATTTTAAAATGAACGAGTAAAGCCGACCCGAGGGCCGCTGTCGGCCCATGTGCTGTGTGGGCGGCACGTCTCACTGCTGGGTCCGCACACGCTCGCTGGGGCTCTGCCTTCAGTCCAATGGAAAGGCAGCCTGTGGGAGAGAAATCATCGCCAGTCAGATGAACTGCTTCTCAGGCTGTGGATGGAGGTGAACTTTGCTGTGCAATGTACTAGGTGGCCACCGACCTGCCGCAGGGCCCTGCGGGGACTCAGACGGCCCTGGCTCGTTGCTGTCAGATGGCTCAAGTCCCAGCAGCTCCCCGGGGAGCCACACCAGGGTGGGGGCCAGGTGGGGCAGTGATGCAACGGTGCTTTATAAAACAAACACCCTGGGACTTCTACTGACACACAGGTGTCTTTGGCTTCCAACAGATACCTCTGCAGATGCTCCACTCCTCTGATGACGCCCGCGTTGCTCAAGGCTGGGAGGCCCTCCCCGGAAGCTCTGGGCGCCTGGGGCTCATCATTTGGATATTGGCACAGACGGCACACTTTCCACCTTACAGGGTGGGTGGCATTTGCAGTAACGCCTAGAACGATTCAAGGGCAAGGCTTGAGTGTGGGTGAGTGACTGAGCTTCGGAACACTATTTTTAGTCAAGCATCTACCTGTGATGAAAGTGTCCCACAGCTGTTCCCTTACCCAGGGGTCCTGAGTTCTGCCACAGTCACAGGGCGGGTCCTACCTGCCCAAAGTCCCCAGGCGGCTGGAAGCCAGGAGCCTCACTCTGCAGTGAACTCTTACTACGCTGCAGGGGGGAAAATTGGTGCAAAATATGACCATACACAGAACACAAACCCATTTTCCAGAGAGTTCTCCGTGTCAAACAGTCCATTATTGAATACATGGATACCTAAATGCTTGATGTCATCATTTATGTCATTTTATGATTTTTAATATGATTCCTTGAATTTGTAATCACCATAGACCTTTTTAAGCCCTTCCGGGTAAATAATTAAAAAGCATGTCCCTTGCCAGAAGTGGGTCCTCCTTTTCGGGTCAGAAAATGTGGCTGTAGCATATTCATACAGAGCTCTCTTTGTAAAAGAAGTCAGAATTCTTAGCACATCAGACTGCTAGAGCCTCAGTTTTCAATCCAGTCTGACCAAGCCCGAGAGCATTTTACAGGAAGGCCCTGAGAGCTGGGGGGAGGGACTGCCAGGGCTTCCTAATGAGCTAGGTACGGAGAGTAATTTGAAAAAAAGAGCCCACTGGAGTTGGTCCCAGAACGTAGGTGGGGTGCCTAAGGATGCAGATCTTATTGGCAATGTCCAATGTGCATTTTACCTGTTCATTCACTTCCTTTACTGCATCTGCACCAAACACGAAAGCCTCATCTCCACATAAAGGCAACTTCTAGTGTTAGGCATCACATAGTTTACAGGGATCTGTTGCTTTCTCACTAAGGAAAAGGTAGTAAGGGAGAGGATAAGGTCTACAGAAATATGCAGAAAGGCATTAATGCCGGGCATGTGGGTAAGGCCAGGTTTAGTCACCAGAGGTTTATGTCCCAAATCCAGTTTAATAACCGGATTTAATGACTCAGGCCCTGCTGACTCCCAGCCCCAAGACCAAGGGCCTCGCCGGCAGTTCGCCTGCAGGCAGCAGGGCCAGCGGGCCAGGGAGCGGCTCTGCCTCCTTCCCGTGCCTCTGTTTCCCCATTGAGTCAGACGGGTCACCTGGCCATGGCCTGGCCTCCCCGAAGCAAAGCGCAGCATGTAGGCAGGAGTTTACATGTTCACGGTGGGTCCGACAGACTACCTAGCTCCTGAATGACTTAGCTCTACATCCCAGCTAATATTTCTAAATCTAAAATATAACTACAGAACCAAGCTGAAAGGGACCCTAGATCTGGCCCAAGCTCTTCCCTTGATGGCTGGAGAAGCAGAGGCTCACGGAACGTCAGGGAGATGGTCAAGGTCACACAGCAGCAAGCTGCTGGCAGGACAGGGGCTAGCTGTCCTCCCCTCCATGCCCAACATGCTGAGACCTCTGGTCCCCTCTGCTGGGAAGAGGCCGCGCAGCGAGAACATGCTGCCTCGCAGTGACTGCTGGATGAGCCATAGAAAGCGGCCACGCAGACAGCGCTCGCCTCTTGGCCTTGGCACTGGACATGGGAGGCTTCCAGAGTGCGAGTAAAACTCTGTCATTGGAACACAATGTTTTCCTCTTAGAAGGCGAACGAATACCAGGAGCAAACCCCAGGGTGCTCCCAGGGAGTCAAAACTGTCCCCTTGAGTGCCTGGGGCGGTAATGTCCTGGGATGCGTTTGTTAATCCCGGCCCCCTCAGGAATTAAGTGCATTAGGGCAGCGATAACTCCCCTCCCCTTCACTGGGAAATCCCAGGTTCTTGGCCTCCAGGAAGTTAGAGCATCCATTCATTCTATTCATTCAACAGCGATTCATCCACTATATCCTGGGGCTGTGCAGAAAAGCTTCTTCAAAACCTCACAGGTTTTGGTAGCTGTAAGCACCTTGGGCTTCTCAGGCCTCAGAGGCCAGGGAAGGGAGGTAATTTACTCAAGATCACCCCGCAAGTTGGGGCGAGGGCCAGGCTGCAGCACAGAGCTCCTCCAGGCTCCTCAGCGCCCACAGCTTGGCCAAGCCTAGCTTTATGTGTTCTCTAACTCGTACCCCTGGCCCTCAGGTTGGCCGCAACGCGCTCCCTAGGGTAGAATGTAATTGTTGGATTTCATCTTCAAGGGACGGAATGGAGAAATGGCAGGTGCGGGAGTGGAAGCAAGCCCTAAATTTCTTCAGCCCCTCCCTGGGGCCAGCAGTGGGGTGGTGCTCACCCAGAGAGTTGAAATCCTCCAACCATATTCCCGAACTCAAGGTGTTCACCAACTGGGGTGCCCTGTTCAAAAACGGGCAGTGGTTGTCATGAGGTGGTGTTATTTACTCACAGCAAGCAAAGCGGAAGGAGGATTCACAGCCAAAGCTTTACCTCCCTGAATGACATGTCGGTTTCTTTCTGCAGTTGGCTATGTTGGGTCCCTGTCAAATTGGTCCTATTTAAGGCTAGTCTGCAAAATACAGTGCTACATTTTAACATGTAGCAAGAATAACATTTAGTAAGAATGGCCCAGATCATGAGACTCTTGTCCTAACACTGGAGGCACTGGCTCCGCTCTTAGGGACAACCAATTTTCTACCAAGCATTTGCCTATCTATTATTCACTGCGTGGACCTTGCTGGTGTGTTGGGACTTACCTAACTCTCAAAGGTGTCAGTTGCCAGCCGCAGCTGCCCCGAATGGTGCCTAGTCACTGACGAGGGCCAGTATGGCACAGGGCAGTGGAGCCACTTGGTGGCTTGGTACCCGTTCCCCCCACCCCGTCCCCTAACGCGCTTGGACGAGTCTACTGGCCTAATAAAACCGCGCGTTGGTCCTCCGTGTCCACTGTTGGAAGGCACCGCTGTGTTCAACACGGTTCAGGGCACAGGTGACTTGCGGGGTGCTCCTCTGCACACCCCTCCCACTGTCAGCGTCTCTACTCCCCTCCTGGTAGAGCGGTGCCACAATCATTTCCAGGTCCCTTTTACAGAAATGGGGGCGCCGGGGTCCACGTGGCCCGCTCGCGCCCCTTTTCTTTCGCTGCCCAAGGACGCGCCGCACGTAATGCCAGATAGAAGAACAGTGCTGCGTGGCGCTGGTGCAGCTGGGGAGTTTGCAAATTCTGCGGCACCGGCTCGTGGCACAAGGACTAGGGATACAGCCCACAGCGGGCGCCGAGAGCCCGGGGGCCGGGACTGCCGCTTCGTGCGCGTGCGCGAGCCCGCCGCAGGGCTGGCGGCGGGAGGCCCGAGGTGGGGGAGGTGCCTGCGGCGGGCTGCGCGTGCGCGGACCTGCCGCAGGGCTGGAGGGGCGCGAGGCCGGGGGCGGACGGGCGGCGCTCGCAGGCGCTGACGTGAAGCCTCCTGCGCCCCCTGCCCCTCCCCCGGGCCCCGGTTGGCCGCCGCCGCCGCGCTCCGCCCCCTCCCTCGGAGGACGCCCGGACGGAACCGATTGCGGCTGGTTTGAGCTGGTGCGTCTCCATGACGACACGGGCGGCTCTATAAGTAGCGGAGCAGCGGCGCGTCGGGCTTTGTCAGTCCCCTCAGCCTCCGCCGCCGCCTCCCCTCTCCCAGCGCTCCGGCGCCACCTCAGGGCCGGCGGTCCTCCGCGGGAGGGAGCGAGGCGGCGGGCCGGCGGCCGGGCGGGCGCTGACGGGGTCGGTCGGCGGTCCTGTGCGCTCGGCGGCTGCGGCGCCATCTCCATGGGTTCGGCTTGAGGCGCCCCTGCGCCCGGAGGTGAGAGGGCGCGAGCGGGCGGTGGGGAGGCAGGAGCCGGGGAGGCAGGAGCCGGGATGGCCACGTGTCCCTGCGCGCCGGGCCGGAGGCCGCGGACAGACCCGCTCCTGGCGCTGCGAGGGGCGCGTGGTCGCGGAGCCGCCCGCCCGCCCGCTCGCCCCTGACCTTGGTGAGCCGCTGCCTTCGGGACGCCGGTTTCCCCAGGGAAGGCGGGGGTTGGCCCTGGGCCCTCCTCGCGGCGCGGCCCGCCCGGCCGTGGGCAGCGGGGCCCGCGCCTCGCCTGCCCGGCACCGCTGACGGCGGGCGCCGGCTGAGCCGGAAGCCGTTGGGACGGCCGGTGGCTCCTTCAACCGCAGTCTTTTTTTAAACCCACGTGGCAAGCCGGGTAGCAGGTGCAGCAGAGGCGGGACGAGCCCGTGCAGGTCGGGGGCTCCGGTCGCTCCTTCCCTGTGACAGGGCTGCGGTTGCCGTTCCGCCTCGCCGTCCTCGACGACCGCGGCCAGAGCGACGGGGCCCGCGGGAGCCGGCGGAGCCCGGAGAGCCCTGCGGCGGCTGCGCTAGTGAATGCGCGGCCCGCCCCGGCACCGCATCGCCTGCTCCGGAGTCTCTGGGAGACGCCGGGCGCGCGCCCAGCTTAGGAGCGGGGTTGGGGCCAACGCGGAGGTTTCCCGAACAGGCCGCTGGCGCCTGAGGACCCCGAGTGATTGATGGGGGCAAGTGCGGGGGGCGGCCCCCTGGAAGTGCCGGGGGAGCGGCGGCCGCGCCGGCCGGGCCCGCCGCGGAGGTCGGGCAGCTTGGTCCGCTCGTGAGACGACCCGGCCGGCGGCCGAGGCGTCCCGCAGAAAAGTGCTGTGTTGTGCTCCCATCGATCGACCCTTTTAAGTAACTTCCTGTGCGGAGCCCCGGAGGGTTCGCGGGGGACACGTCACGGTCGCGGTCGCGGGTGATCAAGGCGTCCTCGCTGAGACCGGCCGGGCGTGGCCCCGCTGCGGGGCGCCCCGCAGCCGCCGGTTCCGGGGCGGGCGGGAGGCCACCGCCCCTTGGACGCCTCTCTCCCCCTTTCTCTTCTCCTTTTTAGCAATTAAAAAAAAAAAAATTAAAGTCCTCGAATGAAGATTAAAAAAAAGGGTACAGGAAAGCAAAGTACTTCCCAGTGGTGTATTTAGGAGAAAACTCCCAGGTTAAGCTTGAGCATTGCCTTAGGGATGTTTAACAAAGGCCCTAATTAATCCCGCCTGACACTGCCTCTGCCTCGGGAGGGTTATTTCTGTGGACGGAGTGGATCTGCCGGCCTCCTCCCTGGCCTCGCCCGGGGCGCGGGCGGTCACTGAGGAGGCTGACACGGCGACAGTGGCACCGGAAGCAAGCCCCACCGCGCCCGGGTTTGGGTCTCCGGCAGGCCCGTCGCCGGGTCCTGAGGCGCCCGGAACCCTCGCCCGGCCTCTGCCCGGGCCGCCGGCGCGGACGGGGCTGCGCCGCCGAAAAGGAGGCGCGCCCGGCAGAATTCAGTAACTGGCGCTCCGCGCTGTCACGTTTTACGAAGGCCAAGGACAGTGCCTCTGATTGTTACGAGCCTTTTGCTTATTCATGAGTCATTTACACTTGCTTATTTTTCTTACCCATAAAGTATGCCAAAAATTACTCTCATTTGACTAGCGTTTATAGCTAAGCAAATGTTAGAGTGCCTGTTGGGATTCCCAGCATTGCCTGATGGAGTAGGCAGCACTGGCCCAAGAATGCTGATTTCTGATGAGGGAGAGCAAGTGTAACCCATCGTGGGGGTCTGAAGATGCCGTTTTTAAAGCTACGTGTCCAGTAGGAAAATAACAGCTCGTGAAGTTTTCGGGAAGCTTCAGAGTGCTCAGTACATTAAGAGCCCTAGACATTTCCATGATGCCTATTAGTCTCTAAAGGGAACCTGTGTAATTTAAAGTGCTTGTCGAGATGTGGAGCACCACATCCACAGTGTGTGGGACTGGAGTGTGCGGCTTTCAGAAAGATCGCAGGTGCTGAACCTCGTGTCTTCCTGATGCTGTAGAGGTTGGCAGGATTCGCACAACTTACGTTGAGAGCAGTGGGATCCCCGAACCCACAGAGTGAGCTGCACGGTGCCTGAGCAGGCGTGGAGAGGGCCGGTTCCTCCGTTGGAGGCCTTGTCCCTAAGGGAGGGCGTCTGTGTTGGCAGGCCAGTGCCAGTGCCACAGCGAGAGGACGCCCAGGTTCCGCGGGACTTGGCATTACTGGAGAGCTGCCTTTGCGAAGAGCTGGCGATAATTCCTTTAAAGCCCACCTTGGTTTTCCTTGTAAGTACTTGGGGCCATTGCACGTTAATCTTTTTAAGAATTACTAAGTATGGCTAAGGCTTGTGAGTGAATTTCTCTACCCTATTTGCAGTTTGTGGAGTCTCAGACAAACATCCAGAAACCATGAACAGCTTTAGTGGTGAAGAGTTTGGCTGTCATTTCCTTGATGAAGGCTTTACTGCCAAGGACATTCTGGACCAAAAAATTAATGAAGTTTCTTCTTCTGTAAGTGTCTTAAGGTCATGCTGGCAGGGCCACTTTGCTAGCGCCAGGCAGCTGGGTGGGGGACCTCAGTGGGGTCCGAGGACGTGGAATGGAGTTTACGGGCCCTGCTCAGGGATTGAGAATGTAACCGGCTGCAGGTTGCCAGCAGGCATAGTGATTGATGTTCCTGTCGGTGAGTGGACTGAGGGGCGTAGAACGCACTGAGAACAGTGGGGAAGAGGAGGGAGGCCGCGGCGGGACACTGTTAGGCTGCTACTGAGTGCCCTGTGACCACTCTTCCTGCAGGATGACAAGGATGCCTTCTATGTTGCGGACCTGGGAGACATTCTAAAGAAACACCTGAAGTGGTTAAAAACTCTTCCTCGGGTCACCCCTTTTTATGCCGTCAAATGCAATGACAGCAGAACCATAGTGAAGACCCTTGCTGCCATCGGGACAGGGTTTGACTGTGCCAGCAAGGTGAGCAGAAAGCCGCAGGCTTCCGTTAGACCACTGGGCAGGTCGGAGTTGTTTCCTGGGCAGTAGGTGCTGATGGGAGGAGGGGCTGCGGCTGTGATGTACAACTTCCTGTGTTTTTCTGTTTCTTCTGCTTACTAGCTACATGTGTGTGGCGTAACACCTCTTTTTCAGACTGAAATACAACTGGTGCAGAGCCTTGGGGTGCCTCCAGAGAGGATTATCTATGCAAATCCTTGTAAACAAGTGTCTCAAATTAAGTATGCTGCCAATAATGGAGTCCAGATGATGACTTTCGATAGTGAAGTCGAGTTAATGAAAGTTGCCAGGGCACATCCAAAGGCCAAGTGAGTCAGTCCTCCGTTGGAAGGCGGGGGTGGATGTGGGAGCCGCATGTTGTCAGACAGACTAAATTTCCCGTTGTGACGTTTCTGTAATTGTATGTGTGTTGGGTCAGAGGCAAAGTAGAAAACAGCTTAAATACTTCTGATTAGTAAAGCCCTATTAGACTGAAACAAGAACTCGCTTTGTATTTTAACCACGGCCATAACCTCCTGTCAGGCAAATTTGAAACACTCCTCTTGCTTCTAGGTTGGTTTTGCGGATCGCCACTGATGATTCCAAAGCGGTCTGTCGTCTCAGTGTTAAATTTGGTGCCACCCTCAAAACCAGCAGGCTTCTTCTGGAACGGGCGAAAGAGCTAAATGTCGACGTCATTGGTGTCAGGTGAGGTCTTGGTGTGGAGGTAGAGGCTCCAATAGTAACAGCGTGCAAGTTTTACAGGGCTTTTCCCCCTGTGAATAGTCATCTTCAGGAATAACCAGAAACAATGTCTTCTCTTTCTTACTGCTTCAGCTTCCATGTGGGAAGCGGCTGCACGGACCCCGAGACCTTCGTGCAGGCCATCTCTGACGCCCGCTGCGTCTTCGACATGGGAGTGAGTACACGGCGACCCCTGGGGCGGGGCGGGGGGCGGTGAGGGTAGGGCCGGCCGGCCGCTGTGGACATGGTCCCGCTGCAGAGGCTTAACCCCGCCGACTGGGTTCATTTCCCGTGACTTGTATGTCTGGCTGTTGGATCAACGTGATTTTCTTGACTCCAGGTGGAGGTTGGTTTCAACATGTATCTGCTGGACATAGGTGGCGGCTTTCCTGGGTCTGAGGACGGAAAGCTTAAATTTGAAGAGGTAATTCGTGGCAGCGCTGCACTGGAGCAGCTCTTTCAGGGGGTCGCCTAGTGGAGCATTTCCAAACCTAAGTGATGAGCTGATACCAGAAGGGACTTTACAGACATGAAAATACATGTCTTAGTGTGATCTTTTGAGTGGCTTTCATGCTGTTTAAAGTTGAATTCAATATCCTTTGGTTTCCTCAACTAAAATAGGAATCAGTTTTCCTGAAAAGTCTTGGAAAACCATTGATTCCACTAAGAAACATTGCTGTGGCGATGACCGTGCTGGCTTTACTACAGCAAGTCCTCGCCTGCTGTTGTCGGCAGGCTCCCTGACGACTTTAAGTGGAATGACTTGTAACAGAACCAGTTTTACCACAGGCTAATTGACATAAACAAGAGTTCAGTCCCTATGGCAAGGTTTGAACAAAGTGGCATAATTGGAGGACCTTCTCTACATCTTTACACCAAATGTGCTTTGTTAGAATTTGTATTTCCTCATTAAAATATTGTTTAGTCACTTAGGAAGCTAGGCTTCCTAAGCCTAGCTTAGGAAGGGTTAACTTTGACAGAATAGTTTTATCTCGTTGGCACATACTTGCTAGATAAAAATACTGCTAAGCATTTGGATGCCTCAGTTGGTGGTAATAGATTTGTCTTGTACTATGTGATACAACTGCACCCGCAGCACCTGAGGGAAGGGATAGGCAGGGTGTCCAAAGGGGAGTTGGAGCAACACCACAGGGGTGGGTGGTTTTGTGCTGTTGCTTGAGGGCAGGACATTCTGCTGGTGGCTGCTCAAATGTTCCTATCCCATCCTGTCACAGCATTGTGCCCTCCCTCTCCGTGCGGTTCCCCTTGATGGCTGACTGCTCTTCTCTGTCTCTCACAGATCGCCAGTGTCATAAACCCGGCTCTGGACAAGTATTTCCCATCCGATTCGGGAGTGACACTCATAGCAGAGCCAGGAAGATACTATGTTGCATCAGCTTTCACCCTGGCAGTTAACATCATTGCCAAAAAGTTGGTATTAAAGGAACAAACGTGCTCTGATGGTAGGTAGAAAGGATGCAGACACTGTGTGCACAACTGTAAGCTGGTACAAAAGGTGGTAATTGAGGCCAATCTGCTTTCCAGATGAAGATGAGTCGAGTGAGAAAACCTTTATGTATTACGTGAATGATGGAGTATATGGATCATTTAATTGCATCCTCTATGATCATGCGCACGTGAAGCCCGTTCTGCAGAAGGTACCTTCTAGCTATTTTTGTACTGTATGTAAGAGGTAAGGTGATGGGTTAAAAGCAGGTGTAACGAGGCCCGTTTCTCAAATGTAGAGGCCCAAACCAGATGAGAAGCATTACTCATCCAGCATATGGGGACCGACATGCGACGGCCTCGACCGCATCGTGGAGCGCTGCGCCCTTCCTGAGATGCAGGTGGGGGACTGGATGCTCTTTGAAAACATGGGCGCTTACACCGTTGCTGCTGCTTCCACTTTCAATGGATTCCAGAGGCCAACCATCTACTATGTGATGTCAGGGCCGACATGGTGAGTGCCATCGTGTGTGTGCGGCCTGATAAGAGCAGGCACCTTCTCCGTGCTCTCCCTCCCAAGAGCACGCCCACGCCTTTCCCTGCCCTCTCTGGCCTCTAAGGCCTGCGTCTCCTAAACTCCCAAGGGTCCCTGCAAGACCTGCAGCCAGGGAAGCAGTGAGCGGCGGCAGCTCGTCCTGGGCCAGCCCCCTGAGCCTTGCCTTCCCCAAGGCCTCTCTGACTTTGCAGTGAGCCCAAGCAGCCCCGCCCTTCTTTCACTGTCCCCGGCTTTAGAAAAGACTGGTTGAGGTATTTCTATGTAGTAAGACTATTTTAATGATGCAAGTGACCCGTGGTTTCCTTGTTACTGAAAAGATGATTCTGAAGACGTTCTTCAGAAATACCGAATAGCTTCCTCCTGACAGCGTAGCCAAGGAGGTAAACAGGCTTATGGGTAGGGTGCTGGAGACCGTCCAGCACGGGTGACTCGGGGTTTCTGAATATGTACCTTCTCTCTCAGGCAACTGATGCAGCAAGTCCAGAACCACAACTTCCCGCCCGCCATGGAGGAGCAGGACGTCAGCGCCCTGCCAGTGTCCTGTGCCTGGGAGAGTGGGATGGAGCGCCACCCAGCAGCCTGCACCTCGGCTCGTGTTAATGTGTAGATGCCGTTCTTGTAGCTGTCACTGCGAGGGTAGCTTGAATTACGGGATTGGAGGGGACCACCTAACTTAATTATTGCTAGTTCTGAAATGTCTTTGTAAGTAGGGTTGGCACAGGCAGAACATTATGGAAAGCTAGGAGATGGGGTCACACTTATCTGTGTTCCTATGGAAACTATTTGAATACTTGTTTTATATGGATTTTTACTCAGTTTTCAAACGCTACTACAGAGTGCCCCTCAGCCGCCAAGCAAGCGTTTGTAGCTTGTACATTGGCAAAACGGCCCAGCCAGCTCAGTGTTGTGGCCTGTTTTAAAAATAAAGGACCTTGAAAATTAGGCGTTGGGATATTTTTAGTGTGACCAGTCCACACAGCTCGCCTTGCATGTACTTTTCAAGTGGGAATTAATGTTGTATTTCCCCAAAGGCTGAGAAAATTGTCCCAGAGGACTGAGGAGTTGATGGTTTTTATTTTGAAACTCTCTGCGGACATGCCCTTTTCCTGTTGGGCATTTTTATTTGCAGTGCGTGGCTCCTGGGTAAAGCTGGCTGTGGATGGTCACGAGGAATAGACCTGGCCCTGTGTTCACGGAAGGGAAAGGATGGATGAGAAAGGGCCCTCTCCTCTGCTGCTCACGGTGGCCAGTGTCTGCTGTAGTGGCTTGGCCCCATCCAGGTGTCCGCAGAGGTGGCTGGGACTTGGCCCGGAGCCCCTGTTGACTCGCTGGCCTGCTCCCGTCACAGCCAGTGCCCAGGGAAGGTGCGCCAGGCCCTCAGGGACCTGCCTGTGGAGGCCTGGGACGCTGCCTCCCCCGCCCGGACCACACTCCCAGGACAAGCCGCATAATTCCAGCAGAGCTGGGAATGTAGTACAGCATTTGGCAGTCATTTTAATAAATTTGGCAACAGTTACTGTATGTGTAGGTCTTTGCTGCCTTCTCTGACCCCCACTCTGAAAAAGGAGCAGGCTCTCCCATACCTGACCCCTAAAACAGGCATTTTGATTCCCTGTGGTAGTGGCACAGTGAGGACAGCAGGCCACGGGGAAGCCCGGTGTCATTCCAGGAAGGCCACTCACCGAGCCGCCGGTCGGTCGCCGAGTCTGCTGTCCTGCCAGCTTCTGAGGGGCCTGCGAGGAGGGGGAGCTGTGGCTCCGCCCCTCAGGGGAGGGGAGCCTGCAGCCGCTCCACTTACAGGGGCGGGGGGTGCTGACAGCATTGCTGTGCCTCAGGCCCCCTCGTCCCGGGCTGCTCGGCCAGACGAGGGCTAGGCTCGTCAGCAGCTCTGCCCTCCTTGGACTCCAGGACAGGGCTGGCTTTGCCAGAGCGAGATAGGCTGCCAGCGGCCGCAGAGCGGAGGAGAGCGGTCACTGCCGCCTGCGCCGCCTCCTGTGAGTAAGCACATCCGTCAGGATGTGAGGCCCCCTCCCAGTGCTCACAGTAAAGGGTGGCACTGTCCCCCCAACGCGGGGGAGAGACACCAAGTCTAAAACCATGGCACGTTAGGCCTTCGGCTTGGTCATCGGGACACCTTCCAACGCAGGTGCTGGGCCTCCCCCAGGCGGGGGCGGGGGTGGGGCTGGGCACCTGGGAGCTGCCTGGAAAAACACGGGTCCCGACTCCAATACCAGTCAGTCCGGAGTGGAAGTTCGCTGTAGCAGCGAGACCACAAAACGAGCAAACACGGGCAGTCGCCGCCTCTCAGTACAGGCTGCTCCGTGCGAGCTTCGGAGGACAATGACTTCCACGTCGCGCTGGCGGCACTGGCAGTTCTCAGAGGAGACGTCTGTGAGGTGCACAGGTTCGTGACTGCCGAGCTGGCATGATTCACGTGTTTGTAAGTGGGCAGCTGTGTTGGTTTGCTCGGGCTGCTGTCAGAAAACACTACAGACGGTGACCTAACGACTCCATTTCCTCACCAGCCTGGGGGCTGGAGGTCCCAGATCCAGAGCCTGGCCGGTTGGGATTCCCAAGGCCTCTCCCAGACGGGCAGGCTGCTGTCCTCATTGTCATCTTCCCCCTGTAAGGAGACCGTGAGGGCCCCGCGGAACACACTCGTTTTCAGCCAACCACCTCTTGAAAGGCCCTATTTCCAAATAGTCACATTCCAAGGTTATGGGAGTTAGGGCTTCGACATAAATGTGGCGGCCACGGTTCAGCCCCCAACAACCCTCTTCCAATGGACACGGGAGTGGGGGAGGGGGAGGCGGAGAAAAACAAATCCAGAAACACCCAAAACTTGCAGTGGAACAATTCTTCCAGCTGCCTCCTTTGGCAAAAAATACGTCAATAGAGTGGGAAATCATCTTAAACATGCTCGAGAGAATTTCATTTTCAGGCTCCATTTCTCAATACTACAGAACAGAGATTTTGATGAGCCACTTGGGAATGGTGTATTTGTTTGCATTTTTTAGAATCTGAGCCCAACGTGAGGGGACCACACCCAAAAAAACAAATTTGTTTACTATGAGCCTTGGGGGCCCATGAGGCAGAGCAACCTGGCGTCTCTTCCTTTCCCGGAAGTCCCACTAGCGCAGGGCCCACGCGCCAACAGCCTCCTCGGACCCGAGGCTGCCCCGTGGAGAAAGGGTGGAGGGAAGAAAGGTGGCCTGTGGCTGGCGGGAAAGCTGCTCTGTTTCGGCCTGTCCTCCGGATGCAGAAACAGCGTCCCTGAGGGTTTGTGAGCGCAGGCCTGCCTTCCCAAGGGCTGTGGGTTCAAGTTCACACTGTCCGCAAATTCCTGAGAAGTCTGATGTGGAGAGGGTTTCCGGGCGCCTGTCCTGGTCTGACGGAGCACCTGTAACCTCTCTGAAAGGACGCCGCCCGTGTGCTGGGCCCACAGATGGATCCCGAAGGGATGCAAGCTGGTCATTCACGAGGAGTCAGCAGGCAGAAACAGCTTGGCTGACGAGCTTCTGAGCCCCGAGTCCCACGCCATCCCCCTTCCCTGGCCCCCAGCCTCCTTCCCAGTCCCACTCCCTCTCCGCAGACAGAAGAGGGAAGAAAGGAGATGGGGCCATCCATTCCCCCCCAGACAGCGGCGCTGCGCATCTGCCCAGGAAGCGGCCTTTTGGAAAGGATGACTTGTTTTTATGGTGTTGCTCAAAGGGTTGCACTATTTATCAGTGGTGTTTTCTTACTACATGAGCATGTGAACTGAATTTCAATCAACTCTCCAGCGGTTGCATTTTATAGAATGAGACGCGTAATAATAACTTCATAGAATAATGCTCCATAGACGAATAGCTACATAGAAACAAGAGCCCTTTATTAAGTTTATTGCATTACAAGCACTAAGCCTGAAATTCTTAAACCCTCTATTTAAATAAACCCCCTTGTCTTCAACTGTCTCAGAACTCTGAGCACTCAGAAAACTCAGTACTAACCCCCCTCTATCCGTAGGGGACACGTTCTGAGACCCCCAGAGGATGCCTGAAACCGCAGATGGTACCTGGACCCCAGGGTTGGGTTGACGCCTTAAAATTTCATTTATCAATTAGGTACAGTAAGAGATTAACAACAAGGAGTAATAATAAAACAGAGCAATTGTCGTGTAATGAAAGTTGTGAATGGCTTTGAGGCCATTATTCAATAAAAGAAAGGTTACTCGTACCCCAGCTCTGTGACACCGCGATGCCCTTTGGCTTTCTGTGGGCCTCGGTGCAGACACATGCTTGCCCCTGGCCCACCGAGCCACCACGTGGCCTGAGCTGACGGAGGAACCGGGGGCGTGCTGGCGGGCTCCCCAGCCACTCGTGAAACATTAGAACACACGTCCACTGTTAAGAGCCCAGCCAATTGCATCCGAAGGATGCCTGCAGAAGCCGTTGGGAGAACTGCGTTCCGGTGCTCCCCAGCGGTGCCCCAGCCAACTGGGCAACCTGAGCAACCCCTCCCTCATCTGTGTGATGAGGACCCTGCACTCACTGGGGAAGGGTCCAGCAAGCAGGGGGCCGGCGGGATTCCATCGCTCGGTCTGTGCAGCGGTAGCTTTGCTCAACAGCAGTTCCTCCAAGAAGACTGTGTGGCCAGAATGGTTGGCTCAGCTGTCTATGCCTGTTGCTCTCTTGTCTGTACATTTCATCATCTTGAACACCCTCCTGTGAGCGTGGGGGCCAGGGAAGGCAGACGGGTGTGAGGGCAGAGGCAGGCATGGCTGCCTCCTTTTGTAAATATATGGTGTATGACATAAATATAAAAACGTTGAAACCCCCTGGTATCACAGACGTTTGTTAGCATCACCGGGGTTCTGTGGAATACAGGTTTGGGAAATTCTGTAAGAAATACTCTCCAAGAACGACAAACCGCTGTTAAAATGGGCGAGTCCAGTGTCTGGATTTCTACATGAGAATTTTTGTAGGGGAAAAAAAAGAGTTTAATTCAAACTGAGCTGAGAGGCAGAAACAGCAACTTGACTGAGCTTACACCTCAAATGAGAAAATCTGGAACTGAGATTTTGTTCCTGGCCAGGCAAAGGGAAACTGGAAACTGAGGGGACCAGTAAAGAAAGGTCCCCTTGAGGCCTGTGGGCTGCCGTGGGGGCGAGGCGTCATACTCCTGTGTTACCTGAGATATTAGGAATAATTGTAACATGAGCTGACGCCTGCCGGCCTGAGCCGCGGGCGGCACCGAGCGCGGGCCCACCTGATCTTCCCTCCAGTCCTGGCGCGCAGGTGCCGTGACTTGCGTTTCACAGAGCAAATGGGGTTGCAGATGTGAACTCACAGAAGCGAAGTCACCGGGTAAGGTCAGGAAGCTGGCCCCTGAGGAGCGGTTTCCAAGCCAAGGGCCCCTGCTGTGGGTCTATATCCCTGACCTCTCAGCCATACTGTCCCCTAAATCCGTCACTTGGAACAAATCTCGCCTTCTACTGTAGTTAATTTCACCATGCCCTAATTGCTCAACTGCATGATAATGTTCTTCAGGGCAGAAGCATGTCTCATTTATCTTTTAACTTTTTAATGAGGTATAACTTACTATCACAAACACAAAAGATCAAGTGTGTGTGTGTGATCACCCATTAGACAAAAAGAAAGCTAATGAAACAGATGCCTAAGAGGGGAGAGTTCATGCTGACCAACTCATTTACCCAAAATGACTTTCATGCTTTGCGTAGAAATGGCCGCTGTCCCAAAGGAGATTACAGTTTAAAATCAGGTTCCTATCCTGACTGGTGTGGCTCAGTAGATGGGGCGCCAGCCCATGAACCTAAAGGTCACCTGTTCAATTCCTGGTCAGGGCACCTTCCTGGGTTGCGGGCAGGTTCCACGTTCGGGGGTGTGCAAGGGGCAACCAATCAATATTTTTCTCCCTCTCTTTCTTCATCCTGTCCCTTCTCTAAAAATAAATAAACTCTTTTTTTAAAAATAAAATCAGGTTCCTAATTGGGAGGTCTCCTTCTCTGGGCCTCAGTTCTCTGAGAGCTAAAACCGGAACGGTCTCCCAGGTGCGTCTCGTGCTGATGCCGCAGGATTTCATCTTTCTCACACAACAGCCACACAGCAAACACAGGGGTCAGCCTTACCTGTTGCCCTGCTCCTCCCCGCCCCCACTCCCAGGACCTGGGGTTCCTGACCTTCGCACGCGCCCTGCAAGGGGCCCACGAGTCTGAGCACATGCTCCTGTGCTCCCGCTTGTTTCACGGCCCCGACAGGGCCGCTGCTGGACGGCTCCCGCAGAAAATGCCCCCTCATTCAAACGCCAGGCGAGGTGGCATCCTCACCCGAGCTGCGCAGGTGGGAACCGGAGCCCCGCCGGGCGCTTGACCTGAGGGCGGGGACTCCCTGAACGCCAGGCCGCCCCCGGCGCTCTTGCCAGGGCTTCCTGTGGACCCATCCCTTTACTCCCACGACAGTCCTCCCGGGGAAGTAGCAGTTTTATTTCCCTTTACAGATGGAGGCACAG